GGGCTCGGTGGCTCAGCCTGTAATCCTGCGCCTTTGGGAGGCTGAGTGAGTGGATTGCATGAGCCCGCGAGTTCGAGACCCGCCTGGGCAGCGAGACCTCATCTGTACAATAAAATCAAAAAATCAGCCGGGCGTGGTAGTGCATACCTGTAATTCCGGCTACTTGGAAGGCTGAGGCAGAAGGATCGCCGGAGCCTAGCAGGCAAGGCTGCGGTGGCCAGGGGCGGCCACTGCACTCCAGTCTGGGCAACCGAGTGAGACTCCAACTCAAAAAAATAAAATAAAATAAAATAAATAAAAATAAAAATAAAAACTTTGTCCACCAAAGCCCCCATTCTCTGCTTCCCTCCCCAACTACTTGCATATATGTCTCCTTCTTCTTCTGGTCCTAGGCCTGGGCCACACATTGAGTCCCCAAACCCAGCAGAGCACTTGGTGTGAGGCAGAGGCAAATGATAAGCGAACATTTTGAATCCTGTTTCTCTGTAGATGGTAATTTGTAGCCAAGTGAGGAAGCTGACAGACTGGATTCAGTCTTGTTCTACTCTGTGGATTCTGGTTCTCTCATCTGGAATGTTCCCCAACCCTCTATTCTTTTTATTTTTTGTATTTTGTATAGAGTCAGGGTCTCACTGTGTTGCCCAGGCTGGAGTGTAGTGGCAAGATTGTAGTTCACTGCAGCCTCAAACTCCTGGACTCAGGTTCCAGCCTTAGCCACCCAAGTACCCATCACCACGCCTGGTTAATTTTTTGTTGTTGTTATTGTATTTTTTTGTAGAGACAGGTTCTTGCTATGTTGCTTAGACTGGTCTTGGACTCGTGGGCTCAAGAAATCCTACCCCAGCCTCTCAAAGTGCTGCCAACCCTCTCTATTCTGTGTGTTCTTCAGATATGGAGAGGATCCCTTCAGTATTTCCATTCAGGTCACTGCTGTTGAGTAAGACCACCCTAGGGTAGTCACTAGAAACCTCCCTTAGGGAGCCAGGTATGGTGGCTCACGCCTGTAATCCCAGCAGTTTGGGAGGCTGAGGTGAGAGGATTGCCTGAGCCCAGGGTTTCAAGACGAGCCTGGGCAACTTGGTGAGACCTTTTCTCTACAATAAATTAAAAAATTAGCCAGGTGTGGTGGCATACACCTGTAGTTCCAGCTACTTGGAAGACTGAGGTGGAAGGATCGCCTGAGCCCAGCAGGTCAAGGCTGCAGTGGCCGTGAGGATGCCTGTCATTGCACTCCAGCCTGGGTGACAGAGTGAGACTCCCCAAAAAAAGAAAAGATCTCCCTTAGGGTGAACATCAGCCCATTAGCAGCCCCCAGGCATTTTCTCACCCATTCCATTGCTCCTCCTGTCTGAGTTTACCTGAACTGTCAGGTGTCAGGGGCAGATGTACCCAGACACTTGGTGTCGGTAGGTTTCTTCATCTAGCAGGCCAGGAGACCCTCTGATCCCTTGAAGATACTTACCAAACACCAAACTCATCATGACCAGCACAATTAAGACAACCATGTACAGGGCTTGGAGGATGCTGTGGAGGCCCAGGGGCCCCAGACCCAAGCTCCTTGCAGGGCCTGCCATAACATGCATGACTGTCCACTGGCCTCCAATTTGGGCTTATATGGTGGAAGAGGTTGGCCAAGAGGAAGGAGTAGTATCCGGGTGGAAATCAGTGCCAAACCAGCCAGAGGGACAGAGTGTCCTCATCCACAGCCACTATGAGACATGGTATCCTCCTGGTGTGGGAGCAGGGACTCAGCAACAGGGTAATGAGAGGAGGTACATTCTTTCATATTCATTTGGCACGTTTATTGAATCACTGCATCAGGTGTTGGGGATACAACAGTGTACAAACTCACAGGGCAGAGTCTAGTGGGGGAGACAAGTCAACAAGCAGTGATGGCGGTGGGGAGTGCTGCCAGGAGCAACTGGACAGTGAAACCATTGACCAAAGGGATTTCAGAGGAGTAACTTGATCAAATTTCTGTTTGTGAAAGATCTCCGTGGCTGCACATCGGATGGGCGTTGAACGCAGGCCGGAAGGTAGGAAGCTATTCTTGTGTCCAGTCACAAGATGGCAGAATGGTCTCGCAGAAGGGAGTCAGGGACAGGCGCCGAGGGGAAAGAATCTGGTAAGAGCATTTAGAAGGAAAACTGGGCAGATTTGGGGTCAGATTGAATGCGGGGTGAGCAGAACGAGTAGGCTTGAGAAAGGGATGATTGTTGGTACCATTTCCCAAGATGGGAAAGATGTGGTACTGTTAGTCTTCCAAAAATGAGGACACCCGGATCCTGTACTCAGCCCGGTGACCCCTTGGGGTTTCGGGAACCCAGCGCCTTTCCCCACCCTATCCTCTAGTGTCCTGCCCGCCTAAGTTCAGCTGTAGGTCAGTGGGTCCGATCTCCGGCGCCCACAGGGTCTGGCGCTCCGCGTCCGCTCTCCGCGCCTGACTGCACCTCAGAGCGCGAAGAGGGCGCGGGGGCGGCCCCTGCCCAAGCTCCGCTCTCGGCCCGGCGTCTGGGAAGAAACCCAGGAAGCGCCAGCCGCGCGTGGGTACCCAAGCCGGCCCCCGCGGACACCTGGAGCCCGGCGCGGCTTCCCCGGAAGGTGGCGCTGCACAGCCCCAGGCTCCTGCCCATTGCTTCCGCCGGGGACCCGCTGGGCTCCCGCACCTGGTCCGCGCGCGGTCCTCGCCTCACAGCTCAGTCAAGCTCTGAGAGACTTGGGGCTTTTACTTTCAGGGCCACTGGGCTATGGGATGTCCTCGATGTCCAGGAACTACATCACCTGCTCCAGCTTCCCACCCGGAGCTTCGGAGCGGGGCCCTGAAATCGGGGTCCCTGCTGCTGCCCGGACTATCCAAGAATCGTCCTGTCTTGGAGTGGTGCGGGAAAGACGGGAAGAAACCGACGGGATCCGCCAGCCGGGAAAGACTGGAAGGAAGAAACAATAGGGGAAAACGCACTCCACTGCGCGCTCCCCCAGCCTTGGAACGAATGAAAATTTAAAATTGTATTGGGGCCGGACTCGGTGGCTCAGCCTGTAATCCCAGCACTTTGGGAGGCCGAGGCGAGTGGATTGCATGAGCCCGAGGGTTCGAGACCCGCCTGGAAAACTTGGCGAGACCTCGTTTCTACAATAATTTTTTTTTAAAATTGTATTGGGGGAAAAGTGAGAGTAATGGAGAACTGGGAAAAAGTGCCTGACACCAACATAAACGTCTGTTCGATGAATGAGTGCACAGAAAAAAAGAATCAGAGAGCAAGGCCTCCTCTTGAAGCGAAGAGGGCAAAGGGGAAGCAGGAGGAACCTCACTGCGCTCTCTGAACTCCTCCCTCGAATGTAAGCGCAACTAACAAGCCAAGGACTGGGGGCTGTGTGAGGCTGAGGCTGAGGGTGGGCTCTCGGGGAGGTTGCCCTGAGAGGTGCAGGAGGGCTTGCGGTAGAGTCACAGCGACCGTGGACTCTGAGGGTAGCCAGGGGCAAGACACCCGTAGCACTTCGGAGAAGTGTAGGGCCGGGTGGGACTTTCTTCGGAGGGGGCGTGGGTGGGACCTTCTTTGGAGGGGGCGTGGGTGGGACCTTCTTTGGAGGGGGCGTGGCCGCCGAGTCATTGATTCTGCCGTTTCCACGTGGCTGGGCGAGGCCAGGGCCCACTAAGGGCCCCGAGGGTTCGTTTCCATGTTGAAGGGTTCCGTGGAGGCGCTCCTGGGAAGAAGAGGTGGGGCGTTGCCACAATCGCCATGGTGACAGCAACGGATGATAGTATCCACGCCAGTGTGGACAAGGGTTACTAAGGATAAGCAGCCCAGAGACGAAGCTAAGGAGTAGGACCCAAGCACAGAACGCCACAGAGGAACTGGGCGAGGCAAACGCGGGGCGGGGCTGTGGAAGATCCACCGGGCAAAAGCCGAGCTCTGTTGCGGGAGCGCCCTGAGACAGACTTCCTTCTGGAGAGAAACTAGAGGGAACGTCTTTAACCCGAATATAAACATTGAAAAATGAATTAATTGTTCCTGAGGGATGGCGTGTTAGTTGGATGGATGGATGGGCATCTGGTTATCCCTGAAGCCTGGGTCCTCCACTTCCGAGGCCCTCACTCGTGGCAGCTGTGCGGGGAAATACATGCCCCTCCTAGGGGCGGAGCAAACCCTCAATTCAAACACGTAGCCCAGGGCGGAGTGGAGCATCTCGTACTGGCAGCAGCGAAGGGCGGAGCCTGGGTCAGTGAAACTCGGTGGGACAAGGAAGGCCCAGCCCAGCCCGGGACCATCTCTTCTTCCCAAGTTTCCTGTCTGGGGTGTAACTTCCGCTTTCCCTAGTCTCTGTCTTCCCTGTTTGCCCATCTCCTCAGAGTGCCTAGGCGTTCAGGCCTCGCCTGGTGTCCAGTATGGCAGGGTCTAGAGCCCCAGTGGCCGTGGGGTCTGTCTCTTCGCAGCTCATCCCGTAGGACTGCTGGAACTTTGCTAATGGGGTGAGGAGTGGACGGGGGCTGTACCCACCCCAGGGTAGGGGGTGGCTGGCAGAGTAAACACGGATGCTCTGAGCCTCATTGGATGGGGAGTAATCTGCTCTGAGACCCTGGGTGGGGTAGTCCAGAATTCACACGTGGAGCCTCCCTCTCCCCCCCCACTTCAGGTATCCAAGAGCCTCACAGGACATCCACTGTTCTCTCTACAGGACATGCGGGGAAAGCAGCAGTAGGCACCAGTCACCAGAGTCCCTAATGGCCATGGCCAGGGAGGGAGGGGGAGTCCTTTGTCTCTAGGGTGTGGGACTGGACCCTATTTGCATTTAAGGAGTTTCCCTTGGCAGAACAAAAACAGTTTCCAGGGGATTAACTGTCCTGTTGGATCTAGGAGGGTGAGGTTCAGAACCATGCAGCTGGCCCCAGAGTTTTGTGTTCTACACTTTTCACCCTATTTCCCCCAGAATGGGACAGGGGAAAGGGGCACCAACATCAGCTCACCACCTACTGTTTGCTAAAAGTAGAATATTCCGGAGCTGTAGTCACCCCCCCCCTTTTTTGAGAAGGGGTCTTGCTCAAACTGGAGTGCAGTGGCATGCTCATGGCAACCGCAGCATCGACTTGTTGAGTTCAGGCGATCCTTCTGCCTCAGCCTTCCAAGTAGTGGGAATTACAGGCGCATGCCACCACACCTGGCTAATTTTTTGATTTATTGTAGAGACAAGGTCTTGCCAAGTTGCCTAGGCTTGTCTCGAACCCCTGGACTCAAGACAATCCTCTTGTTTCCACCTCCCAAGTGTTGGGATTATGGGCATGAGCCACCGTACCCAGCTACCTCCCCTCTTCTAACCTCAAATTTCAAGTGTCACATCAACTGATAAATCTCAGATCTCTCTCTCCAGTAGAAACTCAGTATGCCTTCCCGTAGAGCTGCTGAGCCTCTGCCCCCAGGATTATAGAGGAGCTTCATGCACTGGTGATGAAGGAGCCACAGAAATTAGCCAGAGGCTGTATCTAGGACACCCGAACATTGTTGCCCGTGATAGCATCTTTCTCAAAATAATAGGCCCAGGGTGGTAAACCTAAGAGAAGTTTCCAATGAAGAAAGTGGCCAGGCAACAGATGGGTAGAAGAGGGACTAATTCTGTTTCACAAGGTCCAAGGATTAAAAACAGCATGGAAGTTATGAAGAACCAATTTCCTCAGGTTCAACCTAAGCATTTTCCTCTAACAGAGCTGTCCAAAAGGCAAAGTTTGGCTCTGGGAGATCATGAATCCTCAGCGCCCGGCCCCAGTCTCTGGCAAGCCTTGCTGTTGAACTGCAAAAAGGCTGTGAGGAGACTTGATGACATGGCAGGGATGGTGTGCAGGGCTTGCTGCATAAAACACAGGGAGCATGACGTTCCTTACTCCCTATGGGGATAACAAGAGCTGAACAAGGAAAATTGGGGGTACTGCTGGTGACACAATGCAGGCTGGACGTGGAAATCAGTGGAGGGGCTGAGTAGGTGAAATCAGATACTAGAAAGTGCTTTGGAAACAATGAGGTGGGGCTGGGCTATGGCTCAGGCCTATGATCCCAGCACTTTGGGAGGCCGAGGTGAGAGGATTACCTGAACCTGCAGGTTTAAGACCAGCCTGGGCAACTTGGCAAGACCTCATCTCTACAATAAATAAAAATAAACAATGAGTTGTGAGCAGGAGAAGCCAACAAGCTTCTGAGGTGGTTGTATGCAGGAAGACCTGAGGAAGAATGAAGGAAGGGCCAGGGAGGCTGCCTAGGCATGACAACACTAGGCATGCCAGAGGAAGGTGAGGCCCAGGGATCCACTGCATGAGGACAGTTTGGTTGAGGGCTGAAGGCCTGGGGGAACACAGAGGTGAGAGTCTCTGGACTGGCTGTCCGGAGTCGAGGTCTCCTAAAGCCCAGCCCTTTGGGATCTCTGCTCTCCCTATTGCTAGACCCTAGCTCCCTGGATACTTGCGAAGTCACATAATTAGCCAGACTATAGAAAAAATATCTTTTTAATAATTATTAGGAATAATTCATTCACTTAATGCAGGATGTATGTTGGAGAAGGTTAAGTACTGCCATATGAATGAAGGGAAACGTGCAAGAGG